GATAGCGGCGATGGTATCGTAGCGGTGCTGGACTCGGAGTTGGGCCGGAGTCGGGCACAGGAATGGTAGCAGCCCTGTAGGGGCCAAGTGGGCAGGGTAGAGGAGTCACGCTGGGCATGGTGCCGGAGGCGGACTTGGGGCAGGGAGGTTGGTGTGGCTGTGGGGGAGTCGGCCAGGTGCAGGGGAGCCTAGGGGCAAGCAGGGGAGTGAGCAGGGAGTCCTCAGGGAGGATAGGGCTGAGGTCAGGGCTCGCGCTCATGCTCATGTAGCGGGAATGGGCTCAGGCGGCATCAGGATGGGCAGCTAATGGGCCGGAATGCACGGCTGTGACACAGATCCTTGCTCCTCGGTCTGGGCTGTATGGGCCTTAGATGCGCTTGGGACAGTCCTTGACCATGTGGCCAGACTGACTGCAGAACATACAAAGTTTCTCATTGAGACGATGCTTACGCTCTTGTGGCATGAGCTTGCCGTTGTCTCCAAGTTTTGACGAAAGGTCCGGCTTAGTGGAGCTGGCCTCGGACTTCTTATTGTCCTTCGGAGGCTTGCTACTGGAAGTGGAGTTGAAAGAGGAGGAAGGAATGGGGTCGGAACGAGAAGCGGCGGTGGACTTGTCGAAAACGTTAGAGGAGGAGGGTTTAGCATGACGTGTCAATTCGGATTTACGCTCCCAATAGCGCACATCGAAAGTTTGTGACAAGGTGCGAAGTTCTGAAAGAGTAGAAGGTTTACCTACTCTGGCAATATCGTCCTTGATATGTTCCGGCAATCCGTTATAGAAAAAATGACGGAGCGTGGCTGTCATATCCATACAATCCTGACCTCCGCTCCGGGCTCCTGGAACTCCGAACTCCGACTTCCGGAGCCCTACTTCCCTTCCATCACTTTCTCCTTGCTGACTCCCAAGAGGTTATCCCACCTCCGGCTCGGACACCACCTTCAGTCCGACTCCGGAACATTCCGGGTCCGACCCCAACCTCGACACCTTCCAGACGAGTACGCAAAACCTATGCTCCCGACTCCGGACCTCCGCTCCGGTATCCTGTTCACGTCTCGTCTCCGGAACCTCCGGTCTTAGTTCCGACCTCGGACTTTGACCCCACCTCCGCTTATACCCATTGTATTGGTTAGCTCATTCCATTTAATTACCTTTGCCAATATTCCGGAGTTTAACCTCCGAGTTCGGACTTTCCGGACTTACTCCGGACCTTGCAACTATTGCATTGTCCATTTCAATTCCGCTATTCTCCCTCATTCCTATTTGGGCTGCTGCTTCCTTTCTATTCAGTCAGCTGGCCATTCCCGACTCCCATCCTCCTTCCTTCCTTCTTGGGTCTTGGCCCTTCATTCCTCCTTTGGGAAACACCATTGAGTCAAACACTTGACCCTCGGTGTTGTTCCTCTTTCCATCTCCCTTTGTCTCCTTTTGTCTTACCCTTGTTCCTTTTGATTCCGGACCCCTCCTTATATACAATGTACCTAGTAACTTGTAACCTCAGTCCGAAATCGACCTGAAATGCCCCCAAGAGACTTCCTGCTCACCTACTGTGAAATTAAGGACCAAATGGACAAACAGCAATGGCACAGCGCTCCGCTTGAGTCGCTGAGGCCAAGGTCCCTCCACGCTAAGTCTCCAATTCCACTCCGGAGTCGTCCGTTCCCGCTCGGTTCTAACAGTGGCTTCCCCATAACCATGAAGTTGAGAGGCGTGTCGGTTGAACTTGACGATGTACTTATTGATGTGGTGCCCATCCTTCATGTCCAGGGTCCTTAGTTGAACTTCGGCATCGCCCACAGGATCGTGAGGACTGAAGTTGGTCTGAAGTTTGTTGACGAACTCTTGATAGTTATTCATCCATTGCAGACAAAGCGTGGAATTTTGATCGAATAATAGATCCGGCTCGAACCAATCAAGGGCCATTCCCTTGAGGTAGGACTGTGCGAAGATGACCTTGGTGCAGTCGCTAGCAAAAGCGAGGGGATGGTCCTGGAAGTTCAGTTCGCATTGGACCAGAAATACTCGGAGTTCTCGGGGATCCTTTCCGTTGAACTGTTCGGGCTCACGGACCTTGGTCCGGAGAGTGGAGGATGGTGGTGGTGGTGGACATCCGGTGTGACGAGCCAAACTGGTGATGGCTTGGGCTAGTTGTGTAATAGCCACGTTGGGGATGGGTTCAGCATCATCAGCGGTTGGGACAGTGGGGATAGGAGCATCAGCAGGAGGAGGGTCGACGAAATCGGGGACCTCAGAACCGAGTCCAAAGAAGTGAACGGGGTCTATGGGCTGTTCCGTGGTGTCTCTGAAGTCGGAATCTGCAACTGGTGATCGATTTCTAACAGGACACATGATCGGAGTCGATGGGAGAGGGGTTTCTAGATTAGAGAAGCTACGAAACTCAACTGGGTTTCTTGCCAAACAACTAGGACCAGGCTGCGAGGGTTCTGGGGATGGTGAGGCAGAGTTGGGGACTAATGTGCATAGTTGCGAACGAGTGCGAGGGGCTTTGGGTGCCATACAAGACGTTGTAACGGGTCTATCAATCTAGACTCGTGGCTCAGGTCTAAGGGGGGTAGGTCTCTCTCTATCTCAGGTAGGTATGGTCCTTGAGTATGGTGCTGATACTCTCCGTCTAACCTCTAACTAACTGTCTGTACAGCAGGTCCCAGAAGAGTCCGATACAAATATAAAAGGAAAGTCACATGCGTGAATGAATGAAAATAGTAAGGAAAATAAAGAAAAGGTCATATCTCCTCAACCACTCCACCAAATCCGACGATCTTGGACTCGTCAGAACCACCTCTACAGTATCTACAACTCCTACTATTACCACGACTCACCAATCCTAGTCCCTGATGCAGTAGGGGGTGAAATGCATGATAAGGGTTGGTTTGACATGCATGGACTTGTCCCCACAACAACGTGTACTAGTCAGGGAGTAATAAAATACTGTCAGAGACCAGATCGAGATGAAGGAATGTCTCCGTGGTGGAGGGCTTTGGCCTCAGTGACTTATGCCAGGAGCGCTGTGCCAAGTTACACGTCCATGCCCTAATTTTACTTACTGGCAATGAGAACTAAAGGGGGTCAACTCTAGTCGATTTTATTACTGAGGTGTAACCTATGTACGAGTTGAGTATATATAGTTACAACAAGGGCAGGCCCGTAAATGGCGGGGCTGAGCGGAGCAGAGCTAACGGAGTTAAACATTAGCCAATTGAATATTACCGACAAGTCGGGTTACGGGGTTAGTGGGATGGTAGGCGATAACCCAGAAACAGAAAGGAGGGATAGGCCCAAAGGTGGGCTTGCAGGGCAAGCGAGTGAATTGCCCAGCAGAGGCAGGAGTGCGCTAGCAGACGTCGGAGCTGTCCGGAAGCCTTCGGGGCTCCGTACTTAGGGAGGCATAGGTAATATTGAAAAGAGGGGGTGGTGACCATCGAGGGGAGTGGAGGTGATTGCAGAATATGGGAGCTCCGAGGTTAGTGAAGAAGGAGCAGAGGTAGTGGAAGTCGATGGCCATGTATGGATATGACAGATACATGCAAAGCCAGATCCACTGGGAAATCCTAGAGAACCCCAGGAATTTCAAAAACTTCTCCATAAAAGATGGGCTGATAACCCGACTTGGAGAAGGAGGGACGACCCAAATAGTAGTCCCAAAAGGGAACTACAAAAGGAAGTCCATCCAAGGAATAATCCTCAAAAACATCCATGAAACACTTGGACACCTAGGATCCAGGAAAACAGTGGAAACCCTCTGTCGATACTTCTGGTGGAAGTTGATGAGGAAGGACACCCACAAGTTCTGCAGGTCTTGCGGAACTTGTCAGACAACAAATAAAAGCACCAGGAGAAATCCCGGACTGCTTCACCCACTCCTGACCCCAGAAACACCATGGTCGTCAATAGCCATGGACTTCACAGGTCCATTCCCAACAAGCTTGGGATATGATTACCTCTGGGTAATCATCTGCAGGTTGACATCCAACGTCCACCTGATTCCAATAAAATGTCAGGGCCCGGCCTCTGTCTGGGGGCGGCCCTACCTCAGAGCTGGACACTTGGGGTGTCCCAGGCAGCCAGGTGCCGGATCCTATCCCAAGCTCCTCAAACTCACTAAGCAGGGATTGAGTTGAGATGAAGGGTAAGTTTCCCTATTCCCCGCTTGGCTGCTATAAAAGGGAAATGTACTGTACAGTTCATAACGTGACTAAGGGTGGAAGCTGAGCATGTTCCCACAATGTGGAAAAGGTGTCACATGGGTTAAGGCAAGTTGCTCGCCTTGACCCACGTGATTTTTCCCACGGGTTCGCATGCGGGCTGTAGTTGTGAGGGGTGTGTAAAGATGGGAGGATCAGGGAAGTGGGGGGAGGTCAGGGAAGGTGGTTCTGGGGTTGTATGGTCAGGTGTGGTTGCCCTGACATAAAAACAACAACAAATGCATTAGAACTAGCGTTCATATTCCTCCACGAAGTCGTAAGACTTCACAGTCTACCACACTCGATCGTATCAGATCGAGACTCAAAATTCACGTCAAAGTTTTGGTGTGAACTACACCGAATACTCGGTGTGCAGTTGTAAGGGAGATAGGCCGCATACTCGTGGCCTACCCTATTCATTCTTTATCTATCACATCAGGTTTGTACCTGACATGACACTTCTATTCCTGAACCCTTCATTCTACCATGCAGTCCCAAGCCGCAAATATCACATGTACATACCATAATGTATTTAACCTACATGTGAGGGGGTAAAGGCTTCCCCAGCCTTTACCCCCCTGTTGATAATTACAGCTTCATACAGCGTACTTTAACGGACTGGGAGTGTGAGGCAACAACCAACTGACTATCGTGAGATCACTCACGAACTCAACAATCTTAACTACACTTACACTTTTTTACACTCAGTGAGCAAATAAATTTAACCTTTCAACTTCTTCTTTGATCAATGTTGTGAAGCATGCCGATCTAATTGAAGTTCCCAACTTTTCGTTACCACCATGGTAAAGAAAGCTTTGGGTTCGCCCTCTGCAAAGAGGATGAGGGTGGCTGTGCATAACAACGTGCAGACTTCAGATAGCACTGGGGTTCCCAGCGTTAACACACCTGATATCCCTCCTGATCCAGGAGAGACAGACGACCCCGACACATCTCCAGGTCCACCAGGAGACCTGGATGCACCAGGCCCTTCCCAATCCACGACCATGGTTGTACCTGCTGTGGTCATACCTCCTCCCCCTGAGGAAGACCCACCCAACGCGCCAGTTGGACCTGATCCGTTCGTTGACACGTCTGGTTCCCCTGACAACCCAGTTGAGGTCGTCAACATGGGTGGTACCAAACCATGAGCGAAAACTCCTGGATCGTCGAATGATCAGCATGATGAATTGATGATGATGCTAAGAAGCATCGATCAATGGCTGACTCGCCCTGACTCAGCTATAGAGGACTTGCGGGCTTGGGTTTATCGCTCTAGCCCTGGATTGGCTGGAAGCCAAATTCCTCTAAACTCACCCCAGTTCAAGGCAACAAGTGTGCCTCCACCCATACCAGTCAGGGGATGGGACAGAGAACCCACCCAGCGATGAAACTCGCTGGAGGAGGAAGTCTCTGCTGATGAAGACTACGTCAGGACAACCACCTACCCTGTGCCTGGGCATCCCAGTGTGAGGATGATGACATATGTCCCTCACGCTGAAGAACCCGAGCCTGGGAGTCCTTCAACCTCATCACCAAGGAGAATCCCTTCTTATCTGAAGGGAAAGAGTGTCGATTGGGGCCCTAAGGGCCCGCCTGTTGTCCTCAGAAGGACACAGCCACTTCCTCAGTCGCCTCCTGCGCCTGAAGCGCTGTAGGAGAAATAACGGCCACACTATGGAAACCCATTATGAAAATATGCCAGATAAATCACAAAACCTCATACGACAAGTAGATATGAGAACATAGAAGGACCTGAATTTTAACGAATTTTACGAATTTTTACGAATTATTACGACTATACACGATAAATCGAAAGAAAGAAAAATAACAAAAATACTTCAAGCTTACCATCAACGAGACGGAATTCTCGGGGGAATTTATAGCAAATATTAAACCAAGAATTAGGACAATCGACCAAGATTTGACTATAAAAATAATCAGAGAACCTCCACGGAAACTACTTTCCCACGTCCGCACACATAGCAAGGATGGAAGTACCACGGAACAAAGATTCCTCAGGAACTAATGCAAAAGTCAAAGTCGTGTTTATAATAGGAAATGTAGATGTCACCCAAACGGAACCAATGAGAGTAATTATAGGGGAAACTACCCATAAACGACGGAGATATGACTAAAACTCCTGCAAAACGAGGACAATGTCTAAAAAGCAAGCGCGAAGATTAACTAGTAACGACCGAGACAAGCTTGATAGCCCATTAGAAAGGAAAGGATCTACTCTTAATCCTCCCAAATTTCCATAATAAAAGGATCATGCGTTAATGAGAAATCCAATAACGGGAATAGCGACATCAAAAGTCCGAGCTCAGGGACAAGACGATGATTGCGTAGGATCCATAATTAAAACATACAACGAAATTTACACGGAAATTATGAAAAATAGGAAACTATAGTTATGCAAATTCTCAGCCCAAACGGTCCAGCCGTTGTGAAGTTATACCCATGACGGGAATATAGGAATCCGCATCATGTGTAATGACACGTGAGGGTGGCGATGCGCAGGGAACCGGCCGTCGGAACCGAGATCCGCACTTCGGCAGATCGCGAAGACCAATTTCCGTCCAAATAAGGAAGAGCCCGGTCAAAACAAAGCACGAAAGGTGCAAAACAACCTTAGATCATGAGGGAAAAATCTGAAATAAATCACAGAAGCCCATATGAAAGAAATAAACACCCGCGCATATCATAAATCCCGAACAACTAAACGAAAACGGCTCCCGCATACGAACAACTATGGGAACGACGCACGTGATTACCGAATGTGCGCGCGAAACTTTGCTAACTCAACGAATACAGGGAAATAGGACACAACCTTAGTACCATTGGAAAGGTGGGAATAAATGGAAATTTATGATACCAAGAACGTGAGAAAACATCCAGAAATGAATGAGATACAAGGACATGAAGTTAGAAACCTGAAAACACGCGGGAAGACAGCTTCAAGAGGTCTAGAGCCCTAAATAAAATACATAAAAATATGATATCTTCGAGGACGACCTACTATAACAACGAACAATACATATGGAGGATTAGGATGTGATAATACAAAAGGGAATCAGGGAATATGAACGAAATTCACGAAAACTACTACGACGGACCATGGCGGGAATTTTAGGGAACGATGTTCTAATGAAGTAGAGAGCTATAACACATTCGTTTGAGTAATTCTTGATTACTAGCAACTTTTTCTTTCAGTTTTAAACCTGAATAATTCACTCATTTATCATTTCAGTCTCATTTTAACTAAAATGTCACTAAATAAAATTGGAATAAATCAGCTGAAGGTCTCAGCACAGTCGCACGCATAGTAATGCGAGGTTTGAATTCAGTATGACCGAGTCATAGCGAACTTAATGGGAAATATGGGGAATTTGAAATAGGGAACTGCGGCAAATGCGGTGCAGACAAATTCTAATTAACCATTAAAATAGCTTAGGCGAGGAAGGACAATAAGGATTCCAGGCGCAGTCTGACCGCAGTAGACCGCAGTTCAGCGCAGCAAAGCGCAGCGGAACTATAGCGTGAAAATTTCACTTTTTATTCAGTTTGAGAAAAATACACTGTAAATAAATCCTGTAAATAGAAGGTAGAGCGTGAAAAAGGAAGGCGACCCAAGGAGTATAAAAGGGAGACCCTTTCTGCGACCTTTCGCCCCCCTTAGAGAAGTAAGAAAATAGAGTATTATTTTTCTCAAGCATTTCTGGTTGTCACTCCAGTGCGAAAAAGTGATATACAGTTAAGATTGCCACTGTAGTAAAAGGCAGCAATTAAGGAGAGAAATATTAAGTAGATATTTCAACAGGAGAGCTGGTTAACACTCCAGATTTCAAAGTGTAAACACAAAACAGTTATTTTGCTACTGTTAAAACAAGCAATAAAATAAGACAAAAATAGAACGAACTCAAGGGACACTCCAGACACCATCCAAATTCATTAACTGAATAGAATCTTTGAAACTTCACCAAGTAGAAGATTAAATTCAAGTTTAAATCCAAATTAAACAACGCTACACAAAATTACACCTAGACAAATTAATAAATTTCAATAAAGAAACAGCTCCGCAGGGCTCGGTTTATCTGTAAGTCAATTCCCAGGAACTTTAAAACTAACCCATAAAAATAGAATTAGCCAAAACACTCGGATTGGTACTATATTTACAATAAACAACACTAGTACACTTCCCCATCCTAACTAAAGAACCAGGGAACAGCTTGGTGGTGGTCTCGTTTGAACCTCCCAACTGACCTTCCTTCGTTCTCTCCTTCAGCGCCCGTCATTTTGGAAAATTCGACAGATGAAGGGAAGACTGATCACGATTTGCGATTGACCCGGAACCTATGTCATGGCTCCGGGCCTGCCCTTGTCATGAATGCATGGGGCGAAATAAAGAAAAAGCAAAGAACTATCTTTGCTCCCCATGCACTTAGTGAGATGTCCATGGAGTATGGGACACGGATGGACGGCGATGCTGTCTACATGCACAGACCTGAAGGTCTGGACAATCATGCCTGGGAGATCAGATGTAGGCTAGGTTCCTAGGGTCGATTTACCATGCAGGACCCACAAAGTAGGGCCTTTGGAAGATTGGGCCAAGATTGGCCCAATTGGGCAGATGCCCAACAAATTCCTCTCAGGGTGTCGAGACAAGAAGTCTCGACCCCACAGCCAACCATCCGTACTCTCCAAGATCCTCTTGGAGGGGCTTCACATCCCATCATAGTTTCCCCAGTAAAGAGGGAAAGGGAGCCTAGCTCCCGAGTTCCATGTGTTGCGAGCTCTATCCACCCTCGGGTGGTGAGCTCGACTATCCCCTGCAACAGATTTGTTAAATCCACTCTCAGGTCCTATTCTAGGGACCTGAGTAGTTTGTCCCCTGGCAACCCTGAGGGATTCATGGGGGAGCTGGTTCGCCGTGTCGCAAACCTGATCAGGATAAGGATCCTGACCCCTCTTCCTGCTGATGTAAAAACAGAGTTATTAAAGAAAAACTCTGTTCCATTCCCCATGACCCTATGGTCTGGGGAGAACAATCTCGAAAAATTCGAGAGTTGGCTCATAAAACTCACTTCCTGGGTTTCAGGAAATGGGTGGAAGGGCGAGAGCTACAATGAGCTCCACATAGACACTCTTGCTCGCGCCCTAGATGGCAATCCTAAACAGATTGTGCTTCACGAAATGAAGCTAGGATTCGAGAGTGGGACTATCCCCACATTCACTCAGCTTTTAACGAAGCTGATGCTCACATATGTGAAGAGGTGGGCAGCAGTACCTGCCACCAAACTCTTCAAAACGCTTGCTTATGACCCTGCAAAGGGGATTAAGCATTTTTATACTCAGCTTCTCTGAGCATTGGAGAAGATGATCACTCGCCCTGACCAGGCAAGTTTCAATGAATGTTTTGTAAATGCTCTCCCCTATCACATAAAGGAAGAGCTTGTGCTATGCGACCGAATTTCAGCCGACTTCACGTCCAAAGATGAACTGTGGATGGCTGTTCTCCATGTTGACAATGCGATGGACTCAATGTGCACAATAAACGTGTATAAAGGAGGACTTGCCCCCTCCAGATCAACCAATACACACCTGACCAGCAAGTCGAGTGTATCCAACAACTCAACCCTGTCCACAAGGGGATCATCAGGAGTTGCTCCTAGGGTAGCCCCAACAAGGGGCTACTCGAATTTCTCTTCTTACTCTAATAGTAAGAAGCCCGCTGCATCTATGGCAAAGCCTGTTACAGGCTCGTCTCCTTCACATGCCAAAGGAACTCCCCAGGCCCCTTCTTCATCAAACAACCGGTATTCGAAGAATACCGGTAATTCTTATAACACCCAATGATGCCCTTCGAAGGATTCAAAGGGCAACCCCCTCTGCTACAAATGTGGCAAGATTGGATACTCCTTCAAGTGTCCGAACCATCCACCCAGAGCCAAGTTATACACGCTGGGTGTAGAAGAGGAGGACCAAGACCCTCCCCACGAACCTGAGGGTCAAGGGGATGAAGATGATCCGTCTGGGGAGACCCCAGAAGAAGTTACTGCTGAAGATGGTGACCCCAATGACTGATTCATTGAGGACCCATATGAACTGGCTGGCCCTCCTGATGAGACGGTCAGTGAACCCGAAGATGAGGTCGTCTTCGGGCACTTAAGTTACAAGGGATGGGTATTGTTGACCCATCTGAGGACAACTATGCCCTTAAGTTAGCATTGGCTCAAAGAGCCGACTCGCTCCTCTCTGAGGAGCAAATCGTCACTGAGCTGGTAGACGAACCAGTTCATCAGTTTAAGACTGAGGGGCAGTTGCCTCTCCCAAAGCCGGAGACTGATATAGTCCTGGCAAAAATCACAAAGAAAAACCCACCTATGTTCGATGCAAAGTTTAGACTTTCATGTGAGGCAGGTAAATACCCTACCGATAGGAGTGCTGACTTACATCACACCCTGACTGGCCTCGTTGAGATCAACGGGACCAAAGCATTCACATTGTTTGATAGTGGGGTAGAAACTGACATGTTATCCCCTGACTTTGTCAGAGCGTGTCATATCCCACTCCTTGAACTTCCCAATCCCCTCGTGCTCCAAATGGGCACCAAGGGGAGTAGGTCCTGTATTTACTATGGGACCAATGCTGATCT